GAATTGGTCAACTACGTCCAATAGTTTTCTTGCTGAGTCTTTAGGGTTTTCTAAGTATACTGTCATGTCATCAGCATAGAGGGATAATTTTACCTCCTCGTTGCCTATTTGGATACCTTTTATTCTAGTTTAGCTTCTTAAGGCATGTTTTTTCCATCTTTCTGATAATTGAGAAATGGATTGCCTCTGTTTCCACCACCCTCCCCTTTATTTTGTCTTTTTCTGTTTTGGAATTCAAAGGTTATTCCTGTTGATGACGACATCTTGGTTTTTAAGCTTTCTTCATTTTCCTTCTCTTTATTTTTCTTGATTATTCCTTTCAGAGATTAGTGTTGAAGGATTTATCCTTAATTTTACTAAGTCAGTTTTCCATGTCTTTATTTCTGCTCTTTTGTCCTTTTTTTTTAAAAAATTTTTTAATTACTTTTTATTTTTTTATTGTGTGTACTGTCAAATCAGATCTGACTGATAAAGGAGGAGATTGTCCCTCCTTCTTCAGCAGAGCATCTGGTGGATTCGAACCTCACATCTCTGGGATTGCAGTGTAGCTTCTTGCCAGTAGGCCACCAGAGCTCACATCTTTTGTCCTTCTAATGTGTTGTTGTTGTTGTTGTTATGTGCCATTGAGTCGCTTACGACTCATAGCGACCCTATGTACAATAGCCCTAAACTCTGCTCTGTCCTGTGCCAATCGCACCATCTCCGACACACCCATCCCGATTACCCCAATCACTGAATCAGTTCACCTCTTAGGGGGCCTTCCCCTTCTGTGCTGTCCCTCCACCCTACCAAGCATGATGTACCTCTCCAAGGACCTGTTCCTCCTTGCAGCATGTCCAAAGTATGTCAGATGGAGCCTTAGAATTCTTGCTTCCAAGGAGCAGGATGAATCTGTTTGTTTTCCTCGCAGTTCATGGTACCCTCAATACTCTTCTCTAGCACCACAGTTCAAAGGCATCAATTCTCCTTCTGTCCTCCTTAGTCATTGTCCAACTCTCTGATGCATAACAAGTGATAGCAAAGACCGTGTCCTATATCAGGCGTACCTTAGTCTCCAAAGAGACACCATTGCTCTTCAGTACTTTGGAGAGGTCCCTAACAGCAGACTTTCCCATGGCAATACGTCTTCTAATTTCCTGGATGCTGGTGCCGAGAGTGTTGACTGTGGAGCCAAGCAAACTGAAGCTGTGAACACTCTCAATCTCTTCACCATCCATCCTGATGCTGCCAATTGGCCCAGTGGTGAGAATCTTTGTCTACTTGACATTGAGCCTCAATCCATATTGGAGGCTGCAGTCCTTGACCCTCTGCAGCAAGTGCTTCATGTCCTCCTCAGTTTCAGCAGGCAGGGTTGTATCATCTGCATTACGCAGATTGTTGATAGATTGTCTACCAATCTTGACCCCACATTTCTCCTCATAGAGCCCAGCCTCCCGGATAATCTGTTCTGCATACAGGTTGAAAAGGTATTGAGATTGGATGTATCCCTGGCGTACGCCCTTACCAAATTTGAACCATGCAGTGTTCCCTTGCTCTGTTCTGATGACTGCCTCCTGGACCAAGTATAGGTTTCGCATTAGAACGATCAAGTGTTCTGGGATTCCAATTCTTCTCAGAGTCAGCCACAGTTTGTTATGATCCACACAGTCAAATGCCTTTGCATAGTCAATGAAACAGATAGACATTCCTCTGGTATTCCCTGCTTTCAGCTAAGATCCATCTAACATCAGCTACAGTATCCCTAGTACCACGACCCCTTCTAAACCCAGCCTGGACTTCTGGTCGTTCTCTGCTGATGTGCTGTTTCAGTCGTTTTTGGATAATCTTCAGTAGAATCTTGCTTGCATGTGAAATCAATGACATTGTTCTATAGTTTCCACACTCTGTTGGGTCACCTTTCTTTGGGATGGGAACAAATATAGATCTCTTCCAGTCAGTTGGCCAAGTGGTTGTTCTCCAGATTTCTTGGCACAGCTTGGTGAGCACGTCCAGGGCAACATCTGTTAGCTGAAATATGTCAATTGGTATGCCCTCTATTCTAATGTGTTAGCTCTTTCTAAAATTTTAGCTTTAATATTCTGAATTTCCAATTGTTTTACTTGGCTTCTAATTTTCAAATTATCTATTTGGTCCTGTATTTGGGTTTTTCCTTACAGTGATTTTTTTTTTCTCTTGTTTAAGACAATTCACTTATTGGAAAAAAAAATTCCTTGTCATGAAACTCCAGTAGTGTTTTTTTAAGATGGAAAGAATTTTCTGTTCTGTATCTTGGCTTGCTTTTTGTGCCATACTGCCCTTTTTTTCTTTGCTGTTTAAAAAATAGCTCCTGCTTCTTATCTTTATTATTTTTCTATTATGGTCTTGTCTTTATATTATTTTGTTTTCAGTGTCTGATTGGGCACTGTGAGTGTATGGCATAGTTGGCTGGTTGGGTAGTACTTAGGGTCTCATCTGTGTTCTGTTTTGTGTGATAGAGGATGGAGAATGTGTGTTACTTTTCTTTTACCATATGTAGAGACTATTTGAGGACACACTAGACTGGTGCTGGCTGCAGTATTTCATTGATCATTAGAGCAAGAGTCCATCTTTATTCTTGCTTAGTGGATGTGTGTGTGTATATATGGTTACTGTTGTTGTCTATTCTTAGGTGAAACAAAGGATAAAAAAAGCAAAACAACAGAGTTCGGAGAACCTCCTCAAAAATTGAGAACAGGCTTGGACAACAAAGAAAGAAGCAGACTTGATTGGAATACGAAAGGACGTAGAAACAGAATAGAGAGGCACAAAAAAAATAAAAAGGCAAGGGGAAGAAAGAAAGAGCGAGTGAGCGAGCAAGAGAGCTAGTGCAAGCGCGCGCCAAAGAGAACAAGAGTAGGAGGGGGGAAAAGTAAAAACCAAGACAAAAATAAAAAGCGACAAAACCCCAAAAGAGCAATAAGAAAGAACAAGAGAGAAGAGAGGAGGGATCGATCCTCAGCTGGGTTTGGGATTATTCCTCTTGCCACTGCTTTTGAAGTGGAAGCAATGTGCTTTACCTGGAGCAGTTGCCAGAAAAACAGAAGGGTTTGATTGGTCTTCACATTCAGGGCAGAGTTTATGCTGATTTGAGAGTTGTCTGTGAGTAGGCCATGGACAGAACCTCTTCTGGTCTTTGGACCATTTTGGGCTGAGACATCCTGGTTAGGGATAGTTTCTTTGCCAGTACAGGTGTGAATGATGGGCACAGGCAGAGCCCCCTGTTGGAGATGAAATAATCTGCTGGCATAACGAGACAGTCATTGTCCCTGCTAACCCTAAATACCCAAGGACACATTCCAGAGAGGGTGCACTGCTCTCTGTGGATATGGTGTGTGATGGATGTGCCCACCCAGAAGCAAGAACTTGAATCAGAGATGGAGCCCCACCAGTCCAGGGGCTTCCTGCAGGCTAGGCATGGCACAGTCTGTGGCACTCACAGGTAGAGAGTAAGTCTCATGTGCAGCACTCCAGGCACTAGCTATATAATAATGTAAAACTTGGCTAGGGCAGAGCTGGTATTGTGCCAGATGTTCTTGGCTCATGGTGTTTGTTGGAGTGCAAAGTCACCCTGCTGGTTCTCTGGAGATTTTGGAAACAACAGATAGCTGCTGGTGTATACATTGCTACAGTCTCAGGTTCCTGTGCCCACTGGACAAGCAGTAGTAGCAGTTTACAAGAGCTGAACTATCCCGTTTACTCTTGTATTTGTAGGAAACTCTGATGGTGTTTTACATAGAGAGTTGTGCTGCTAATTCCAAGGCAGTGCCTCCCTGGTGATTTGAGTCCATCATAGACTCCTCAGGAGAGAGATGAGTGGTCTCCCCTTGTGCCATTTACAGGCTTGGAAACCCAGTGGAGGAGGGTCAGCTGTGAGTTGGTTCCAACTCTGTGGTTATTTGAGAGAACTCGATCTGTCTCTTTTGTTTGATATTTTCATTCTGCTTCTGTCAGTAGTCAGTGTTTGAACTACATTTTTATCTTTTGAAATAAAGGGTTCCAAAATTGTCATCCATATTGGTTATTTTATTTTCTGTTGTCTAGGTTGGAAATGGCCTGTACTGCCATCTGCCTAGTTTGCCATTTTACCCAGGAGTCAAATTGGAAGTCATTTGTTGCCTTCTGATGGCAACAACATTTTGAGGTTGAGTTATTGGTGCTTTTATACTCAGTATTCAGGCAGTTTGCTCCTTTGTATTGTGTGTAAGACTGTTTTGGGTCCTGTAAAAATAAGAGCAGTAGGTAAAACTGTCTTAGTTTTATGTAGTCTTTAAAGTAGAAAGTTTATAAATACTGGCTTTTAAAAACTAGAAATTAATAAATATTATGAGTCTTGGCTTATGAATTTTTTGTTTTGTTGATCCTGGAAATATTCTTGTTAAAGGTTGTGTTCTGAAGACTTTTGCCAGTGTTAACACATATTTCCATTTTGCCAGTAGGAAAAGATTTTTGTTCTACAGAGAGGATTGTTGTTGTTGTTGTTATGTGCCATCGAGTCACTTGAGACTTATAGCGACCCTATGTATAACAGCCCTAAACCCTGCCCTATGTTAATAAAATGAGCAGTTCATTGTGGTCCTTCCTACTGCTTTTGATAATTTTTTACTTACCCTGTTTCCCTACACTGCTAAATGGCTGAGATACACTACTGGACAGATGCAATGATTGATGTTTTGCTGTTTGATTTTAGGTATTCAAAACCTATGACCACATGGCGCGTCAAGATGATGAGAAGAGAAGAAAGGAACTTGAAGAGAAAATCAAAAGAAAAGAAGAAGAAACAAAAGCTGTATTTGCTGCTGCAGCTGAGAAGGAACCAGTGCCGGTTTCAGTTCAGGAAATAGAGATTGATTCTACAACAGAATTGGATGGACCTCAGGAAGTGGAGAGAGTGCAGCCTGAAGGCACACAGTGCCATGACTTGGAGCCTCCAGGAGCAGCTGCTAGTGTTGCTGAAGTCCCTAAGGAACTGCCAGCTCTTCTCAAGTAAGAACTTCTAGTTTGTAGCTACCATTTTTAAAAAAAAATTATTTTATATTGGTTTGCATACGAACTTTTTTTTTAAAGTTAAAGATAAAAGTTAAGATGGAAGTTTACACAACCAGACAAGTTCCCACTTAACAATTTTTTTTGGAAAATGTGCCATGATACTGGGTACATTTTTCATAGTATGTCCTTATTGTCATTCATTCTGTTTTGATTGGTTGTACCATTTCCAGAGCTTTAGATTCCTTGCTCTCTTACCTTCTCAACTTTGGTTTGGTGTAGTTTTTGTTCATCTCCCACAGTTGACTTATTTTTAATTTAAGGAAGCTCATTACTAACAGGTAATATTTTTAATTTTATGATCCAATCTGTTATTAACTTAATTGGTGACCTCAAGGACTAATTCTGGTTTAAATTTCAGAGTAGTAGGCTTAAGAAGTCCTCTAGTTTATTCTGGTCCAACAATGTAGACAATTTGAGAATTTGAATTCTGCTGCACTTTTTTATTCCATTCCGTAATAACCAGATTATCTCCCGCTAAGTTATTTCTGGCTCATAGCAGTCCTTCTGTTAAGGAAATCAGATTTCCAACATCGTAGATCTTAACAGAAACAGACTTTCTTATCTTTCTCCTGCAAAGCATGTGAAAAAGGTGTGTTTGAACTGCCACTTTTTCTAACCCAACACTTAACCAATTTTGCCACCAAGGCATCTCATTCTTAAAGACCACCATCTAATGTAGTCTTGATCATAACAGTAAGTAGTGACAGCCAAAGACCATCTAGTTTTTCTGATCTCATAGTGGATGAGGTTGTGATTCATGGAGACTGTGAAGAGCTTGGTGGTGGTCTGTAGAGTACTTTGCTCCCTGAGTCCTTAGTTTTCTTCTTTTTGTTCCATATAAACAGAGATCAGTAGTTATATCTCAGATCACTGCTTGCAAGTTTTTAGGACCCCAGATGCTGTTCACCCCCTTGAGATGTAGCACATACACTGCCAGTTGACATTGCTTTAAGTCTTTAAACCAGGTCTTGTGTGGTTTTTTATGTATATGAGTATACACATGTGCACATATGTACTGGTATGTACTGTCTGTAGGTACGTAATTAACTGTGTATTCATATTCTCTTACTTCTAAGCCTGTGCACATGATTCTGTAAAAACACAACTTTTTTGGTGGTGATTTCAAATTTTATTTGTCATATCTTTTACCATACATATTCTTTTTTCTTCTGTAATACATAGGCCCTTTACCTTTGTCACACTATGTATGTTTCACTCATATTCAGTGCTACTTTTTCTGTTACTGAAATTAACAAGTGTCTGCTACCTTCATAATGTTACCCCACTTTTTTTCAGTTGCTAAATCTCTAGTGATAGCAGATATGCTCTGGTTTCCATGTATCTATTTTTGTCTTTTAAAGTACACTCCACAATATTTGTCCTTTTGTGACTTACTGTTTTATTCAGCTTAATGCTCTAGGTTCATCATGTTACTGCATTTTTGAGGACTCATTATTCTTCATGGCTGCTGTGAAAAAGAATGTAAGTGGTCACATCTGACCTCTGTTAACTTCACAAGCAGTTACTGTCTCCTTGTTAATGACATCAGTGGTGCATAACTGATTCCCATGGGTCATACATGCTCCTTCAACTTTCTCTATCAATTCTAACACCAATTGTCCCTCCTCTTACTGCTCTGCTAGTAGATTCACTAATCTATTGTAATGGATACACAGGTTGGAAACAGGATCCAGTTCTTCTGTCAGGACAGCTTCTCGGGCATGCTTGCTAACTCCTTGGCCTGCAGACTTGAAACTCTGGGTCAGTGTCAACACAGTCCTTTTTTTTTAAATTAAATTATATTAATTTTAATGAACATTTACAGAGATTTTGGGTTTCCGTTCATTCATTGTTGCACTATTTTCTCTACCCTCCCCTCCCAGTTCATTATTCTTTTTTTTCCCCCCTTGAAAGTCAACACAGTCCTTTTAATTTTGCACATTTTAGTCTCCCAGCCCTCCAGTAAGTCTGGGTGAAGGCTCTCAGTTATGGTTGTATGGCGTGGCAGTTCCATTTCAGCTCTGTCTTATTTTGATCATTGATTCTTCACCACCTTTGTTGCTATTGCTACTGCTACTCTCAGTTTGTCTTGCTAAGGAATTTCTGGCCCAGGACGCCCTATACTCTCTTGCTTCTTTCGTGGTGATTTTCTGACTCTGAGCCTGTTTGATTTAGGCCTGACAGAATAGCAAAACTGACGAGTTCCCGAATTATTAGTCTGTGCACCCTATTTGCATGTTCCCACCCAAATGGTACTTTTTACTATCATTCACATTATTGGCATAATCCTACTCAGCCATGTAGGGACTCTGGTGTTTTAGTAGTAAGGAGTTATGTTGACAACCCAAAGGTATGCAATTGGAATCCATAAGAGAAGGATGGGCAGTTGCCTCCTGTGTGATTTGTTACCTCTGAAAAGCCTCTGTAGAGTTGGCTGTGAGTTGCTTGTGACTTGATAGCACACAGCAACCACCCAGCCATGTAGACCATGACTAGGAAAGTTATTTTGAGCAGTCAGTCTCCTGTGCCACAGCTTCATAGTACACCATTGTATGTAGCATGTATTGTTTATCTAATTATCCATAGATGGGAGTTGAAGTTGTTAATTGCATTTTTACTATTGTGAGTTAATATTATGTGCAGTTTTTTTGTGTGTATGTCACTTCTATTAGGACTTTAGAGTATATACCTATAAGTGAGGTTACTTGATCATAATGTATTTCTATTTTTTTGGCTATAACTTTTATTTATTTATTAAAATGTATTTAAATTTAAAAAAAATTTTACATTTCCATTCATTGTTGCACTTTTCTCTCTGCCTGTGCCTCCCTCCAGTTCGCTTATCTCTTTGAAAAGTAAAAAAAAAAATAAAAAAATTTCTTTCATTGTTATACAATCCCCCTCTTTGCCCCAGTCCACTCCACTATGCAGATTTCATTCTGGACTCTTGTCATGACAATAATACCCAATCATAAATTCCTCCCATGCAGTACTCTCCCTCATCTGTTTCAGTGCAGTTTATATTATTTATTGCCTCTTAATTTCCCACCAACTCCAATGTTAGTCTCACTTTACAATAGTGGTACTATGCAGTAGTTGTCCTTTTGTGACTGAGATATTTCACTCAGCGTAATGTCCTCGGGTCATCCATTTTGTATACTATTTCATAAGTTCCTTGTTTTTCAATGCAGCGTAGTTTTGTGAATATACCATTTTGTGAATATACTACAGCTTCTCTAGCCATTCATTTGTTGAGGGGTACTTGGTTTGTTTCCAACTCTTTGCTGTTGTAAACAAAGCCAAAATAAACCTGGGTGAGCATATATCTGTTTGGGTGGCAGTTCTGGTTTCTTTAGGGTATATTCCCAGTAGTGGAATTGCTGGGTCAAATGGTATTTCTATTTCCAACTTTTTGAGAAAGCACAGGATATAAACAGACACTTCACCAAAGAAGACATTCAGATGATGAACACACACATGAAGAAATGTTCAAAATCCTCTCACCCCAGTAAGAATAGCAAAATTTAGCAGAATAGCAAGTAACAAATGCTGGTGAGGTTGCAGGGAAACTGGAACCCTTATTCACTGTTGGTGAGAGTGTAGGATGTATTTCTGTTTTTAACTTTTGATGACATACCATACCATTTTCCATATTATTCTGCAACACTACCATCCATGGATACTATTCTAATCTCCTCAAGACTTTGTTAGTATTTGTTGTTCTTTGGTCAGTGCAAGTTTTGGAGGAGAAAGATGGTGTATTTCATTAATTTTTAATTTCTGTCTCTCTAAATGACTTATGGTTTAGTGGTAAGGAGTTGTGCTGCCAGCCTGAAGGTACGTGGTTTGAATCCACTAGCTGCTCTGCAGGAGAAAGATGGGCAGTCTCTTTCTTACTAAGCAATTATACTGCCTCTGAAAACCTACTGGAGGGTCAACTATGAGTGAATTCTGACTCAGTGGTACACAACAACAACAACAACAACAACTAACTTAATGATTCTGAGCATCTTTTTGTGTATCTGTTGGCTGCTCGAATGTTTACTTTGGTGAAGTGTCTTAATGTCCTTTGCTTATATTTCGGTTGGGTTGTTTCTTTTTTTGTTGTTGAAATGCTTACGTTTTCTATATATGTTATAAATTAAACTCTTATCAGATATAACAATCCATAGACTGTCTTTTCACTCTTGTTAAAATCTTAAAGAGCATAAGTATTTAATATTTAGGAGGTGTTAATTCTAGTTTGTCTTCTATTGTGTGTTTATAATTGTATTTAATTATCTGTTTCTGCAAAAAAAATTTTCATATAGTTTTGTCCTTGATACCTTCCATAAGCTTTATTGTTTTAGATTTAATGTTTAGGTTTTTAATACATTTTGAGTTAGTTTTTGTGTATTGTTTGAAGTATGAATTCTATTTCCTTTTTCTGCAGATGAATATCAGATTTTGCTAACACTATTTATGAACATGACCCTTTGTCAAAAATCAGCTGCCCATACCCAACCAGCTCAGTGCCATCGAATAGATTCTGACTAATAACAAGCTAATAGGACTGAGTACAATTGTCCCCTAGGGTCTCCAAGACTGTAAATATAGCAGTAGACCAACGCATCTTTCTCCTGCAGAGAGGTTGGTAGGTTTGAATGGCCAGGCTTTTGTTAACAGCTGAATGACTCAACCTCAGTGCCACCAGAGCTCCTATCAGCTTTCCATAATGAGTTTATAAATGATTCTGGGTTATGAATTATCAGTTTACAGAGCACTTCTTTTTGTTATGTACCATAGAGTACTGCTCATATGAACAACAGATCTGAATCCTGTCCTATCCTGTGCCATCCTCACAATCTCTGATCCCATTGCTACAATTATTCTGTCAGTCCACCTGGTTGAGGGTCTTCTTTTCTTATGCTGTCCCTCCACCTTCCCAAGCATGATAT